CCTTATTCCAGTCTACATTGATTGGCATAGCCGGCATTTCAGGAGTAATATAATCAGGAGTGCTGCATTGAAAATGAAAATAAAAATAAAAAATAGCTAATTAAAAGAAAAACAGGAGTTACCCTATTTCATTTACTAATTAAAATCCAGAATTCAAAGTTTCACCAGAAGAAATCTTGACTGAGGATGAAATCTTTGTCACCGGCATCTATATCCTGTGACAGAGACTCAGCAGCTGAGGGATTAGCTTCGGAATCAAGACGATTCTGAAATTGAGAGGATTTCTGTTGAAGAGATAAATTGAGAGAAACTTGATCTAGCTGAACCGTAAAGTGATTAGCTAATGAACCCTTCATCATTATGCCGCAATTCTTTTTCAAATTCTTGTTATTACTGTTCCTACTACTCCTCCTTAGGGTTTCTCTCTTCATCAATCAGAATCTCTCTCTCTCTTTGTCTCCAGTTTCTCAATGAATTTTGGAATTTGTAGAAGTGGTAAGAAGGGGGTGAGTGGGGATTCAAAATTTGCGCGGGTTGGGGAGAATTTGGGAGGATCTAGTGGTCTGAGGTATATGACTTATCGTGTGGCACTTTTAAATCTGGGACGAAAATAGCCCATTATTCAACAAAATGGTTTGATGTGTGATTTTTCGAATAAGCGTGCTATGTAAGCCTTTTCAGGTGTATAGTGTAAGGAATGTGGATGATGATGGCCTCAAAAAGCCTGGCTTTCGGCGATAATAAAATAAAATTCCTTTTCGTCTGGTCTCTTTTTTGTAAAAAAAATAATAATAATAAAATTGCACGTTATGCGTCCGTTTCAACTCCATTAGCATTTTCGTATATTTTTCTTTTTCTTCTTGTTAATCATATATTTTTAATAAAACAATATTACAAGTAAACACAAAAAAAAAAATCTCATTTTTTAAAAGATCACTATTTCAAAATATATTTTCTCCTAAAATCACATTAAATCGAGCCCAAACAGGGGCTATGCTTTTTAAATTTTTGTTGTATTTCTATTTTCAACTTTTCATCAATTAAGCCCTTATTTGGGCTTTATTTTAATGAGTTCTTGAGAAAAATGTATTTCGAAATAATAAATTTTCGGAGAATGTGTGGTTAGAAATAATGAAAAATTTTAGATACGCGTATAATATAATTTTATTGAAAAATGTATAATTGAAAAGAAAAGGGAAAATCACATTAAAATTTTAATGGAGCCCAAACATGGGCTGAGATGAAGAAAATTACACAAAAACCTATTTTTTAACTTTACGCCCCTATTGGGGGGGATATTTTTCCATTTGACCTATTTCTATTTCTTTTCATGGAAAAGTCTATGTTGCCCATAATGAAATGATTCTTTCTATATTGCAACATATATCCTAATCTTTTAAACATTTTATCTTATATTTACTCTATTTTAAATATCTGAATATAATTTCATTCTATGATCTAATAAATTGGAATAATCTGCAACATATTGTTCACATTTATTATTTAATTTATTATATTCTTCAAAATATGCATCCATATTTTCTAATTGAGAATACATATTTTTTATTACCTCTAACATTCTTTCTAATAAATTATCCAATCCTTTAATTGTATATTCTGACATTTATTCATACAAATAATCATCAAATCATGTAATTAATCCATTTGATTCTTTAAGATCTAAAAAGATTCATTCTAATTTTAGCAAAAATTTAATAGTTTTACTTTAGATTTGATCTGGATATTTATTCTTAGAACCGAATAACCTTTGAGCTCTAAATATGTAAATTGCTTCCTTCAACGGCCTCCTGCCTTCACGAAATCTTTACAATTTCAACTTTTTGCTCTCACGGTATCCATTCTAAATAATAAAATTCTAGATTTCTGTTAAAGAAAAACTCTCTTTTTGCTAAAATAAGAAGGAAACTTTCTATTAGATCCTTCAAGAATCATTGG